TGCAGTACTGGGTAATAAAACATATACAAGCGTTAGTTGGCGTCCTACACTAGCTGCGTAGAGCGTATCGTTTTTTTACGCTCTCAATGAGCGTTGTTGGCTCTCTTGTTCTATTTATACTCTTTGGTCATATCGACGCATGCGTCATTCTATTTCTGTAGGCACGATTGTACCGGCGTTCGGTTTCTGCTTCTGAAATTTTTAAACAAATCTATCCTAAAACATGTAAGTATTTTTCACCGTTGTCTGTTGATTAACTAGTTATAAACTATATAGTGTGTACATTACATGGGGCGTAAGAAAACAAACATTATTTGCCATGGTTTACTCAAAATTATGTGGAATAAAATGTAGGCAAGAACAAGAGGAGGTTACGTCAGATTCATTGTGGAAGGAACAGGGCTTACGTGCGTGTTGTAATTCATGCCTGACAGGCTTTAGTGGCTACCAAAAAAAATGGTACCTATAACTGTCTCGTATCGCTGTCTAGACCTAATTACAGGTCGTCAAAGTAACGACTAATCAAACAATACGTTTTCTTCCTTATGTAAATAATAGTACAGTACAGTATTTATTATAAATAGTTTATATTACTATTACCTGCAGTCTGGATGAGTATGCCTATCAGTGGTATCTATCTCGTTTACAAAGCATTTTCGATGATTTTTCCAATTCAATTGTAATCCTTTTTTCACCACAATATTTTTTAGCTTGGCTTGATGGTACAGTAGCTTGATGACTAGGCCTAAGCTGGGATCCGGGTAAACAACTATAAGTTAAAATCTATTTACCCCTGTAGCTTTTATTACACTAGGTATTTTTTATCTATAGAACAATTTAAATAACATTAAGTAGTGGATATCAGCTAAATGAAAATTAAACTTTCACACACACTAAGTTCAATCACAGAGGTCTTTTACTTTACAGTTGAATTATTATAATACAGTAATGTGACTGGCTCTGGCAAAACCAGTCATTTGAGTTTTTTTTTATCTTTAGTTTCTGTGTAAATTCTTCTTTAAAACAGTGTTTATTTGATGGAAATCAATTTTAGTCTATTTATTCTAGCAAAGTTATGATATTTAATTCATTAGATATCAGCCATGTAATTTTTGAGAGAACAGCTTCCAAAGATTCCAAAATTAATAGTTTATTATTAAGATTTGTATTTTAAAAATAATTTTAATATACTTTTCAGTTAGATTTATTGATTGATAATTTGCATAAATGTTCTTCATTACAGTATATCTTTTTTTATAAAATGCAAAAACATGAAAATGTTCAAAATTCTGTTACTCGAACATTTTGGGTGCTTGCAGGAAATTTGAAACTGCGACAAACACAGGGTTTTGCCATGAGAGCCGGACACATATAATTTAGTGTGGGCCGCACTCCAACCCTAACTTTAGAAATAGCCAAGTTTGAGTTACAGTAATGCAGAATATACTGTAAACGCTTTGTTTTATTAATCGTGTTAAACACAGAATTAAGTAATAACATATATGTAATGTAGGTGACAAATTTTTTTTTGGCAGGGGGATAATTTGCATACTATACAGACCATTCCGTTATTGTTTGTATGTGGCCATCATCAAACTTTGTATGGTTGCATCTGTAAAATGATTTGTGAGTGAGCTTAGTGTGAAAGCCATGTTTTTGAACCTTTGTTTTTGTGTGTAATTTCTATTTAGCTGCAAATCCACTATTTAATAATACTTGTACATATAAGTTAAAATAAATAGTGTAATATAAATGCTACAGGTGGGGTAATAATAGAGAGGTTGTGCTGTTCACTCAGCTTAGTCATAAGGTCAAAAAAAAATATTGTGTTGAGAAAGATTTGGAAAACCTAGTGCTTAAAAGCTGCTTGAATTACTCATATAAGTCATTTCCCAATTCATTTTGAGTGAACCTCATCATTTCCTCATTTAAGTAACTGTATTTAATGAGAATATGGTATGAAATAGTGTTTTATCACATGTTTATAGCTCTTAATTGTCTCAACAGACATGACTTTATGGCATACAGTAAATGGTATTATGGCATACTCTTTATTATCTAGTCTGTGCTTTCATAAATAATTAACTACTTTCACACTGAATGTTAAGGCATTGGTACTGTGTACAGTATCTCAACTTTTGTACACCTTAATTATAGAACACAAAACAGTACAATATTTGGAGAAGAGTTGTGCTACCTCCTTGTATTTTACCCAACCTGACATGTTCAATTCTCAAGTAAATTGCTTGATAATTTCATGCACAAGTATTCGGGATGTTAATTTTTTGTCATTTTGTTTTTAGCTCTCTACAAATTGCTATTATTATTACAGTACAGTATTGTTATTTTTTGATAACTTGTTAGTTTGGGAATTATACAAATTTTTTGTTGTACATCAGGCCTGCATTGGTAAGTTATTAATATTATATTTTCCGCTTCTCAACAGAATATACTATAATGCCTGAAGAGAAAATTCCAGTAGGTGATCCAGTAAAAGGAGCAGCGATCTTCAAGCAGAAATGCACGCAGTGCCATGTAATAGACAACTCTGGCAAACACAAGCAAGGCCCCAATCTCAAGGGCTTGTATGGACGAAAGACTGGTCAAGCAGAGGGCTTCAGCTACACTGATGCCAATAAGAATAAAGGTAAAGTGCATTAATATCGGGTCCTTTCCTTTTGACAAATTATATAGCCACTAACAATAGTACTTACCATTTGCTGACTCTTACCCAGTGGTTAAGTGCCTATTGTGGAACAATTTGTTATAGATGTGAAATATGAATAGTGAAGATCAAATAAAGTAGTGGTAATCAATTGGTATGAAATGCAGAAGTTAAAACTATCATGTACTGTATATACAGTACAGTATTTCATTCCTCTAATTGAACTGCTAAGGTTTTGAAAAGACACGCCAGAATAGAAGGATATCAGCACACTTCATAAAATGTCACTAGTTTATAAAATAGCACTATAAATACAGTACCGTAATCTATAAGATATACTTCTTTTCATTGTAAAGCAGAGCTCTGTGTTGTAAGAAAATATACTGTAGCCTAGTAGTTAATTTTTAGTTGGAATTATTTAGGTCACTGTTGAATTAATGTTATGCAGCAGAAAGAAAATTTGTTTTGAATGGACAACAATAAAAAGTTTTCCACCCATTTTTATTCTTATTTGCCAAGGAAAAGATAATACAAAAAGAAAAAAGATACATATTAATTCTTATCTAATTATTTCTGTCTACTGTATTACTGTAATAATTTTACACTCCCATCAATCTCTTTGTCCTACAAAGTATACAGTAACCATTATTTTTAATGGGTTTTGTAAAAGAGAGGGTATTTTTGATAATAAAGATAACATCCAGATATATAATTTGAAGAGATTTTTGCTTTTCTTTTTCCAGGCATTGTATGGACCGAAGAAACTTTATGGGTATATTTATTAAACCCCAAGAAATATATACCAGGAACGAAAATGGTCTTTGCTGGACTCAAAAAGAAGGGTGAAAGAGCAGATTTGATTGCATATTTGAAGGAGGAAACATTAAAATAATGAATGAATTCTTGGTGAGAGATGAGGGGAAGAAATAGGAATATAGTGAACATTTTTACATTTGTAGTCACATGACATCAACAGATACTTTGCAGCAAGAGTTTTATTCAATAATTGCATGTTCCTATTTGTTGAAGTGTAATTCGTAAAAAATGTACTATGTCGGTCCCCATGGCGATCATTAAATACTGGTATATAGCATAGGAAAAGTCCACCTGTAAATTTGTGTGTTTACTTATATTGTGCTGTTTTTCGGTGAACTTCAGTACAAGGAATTACATTTAATATAATGAAGAGAAATGCAATATGAATTGTAGGTATGGAATTTGTGAGTGCTATATTAAGACCGATGTTTAGTCTACAATTTTGAGAGTGTGTCTACTAGGATGCTGTGTATATTGATAATTCTAACGTTATTTGTCAAATATAATGTAATAAAAATTCATTCAAATTGTTTGTCTTGCTGTACAGTATGCCTGGATCTTGCTGGCTGCATTGTGGCAATATTGAAGTATGTATGATTGTTGATTTTTTTCTTTTCTCTTGATTTCACCTCATTGGATTGTTGTTATGAATATAAAGTTTAATAAATGAGTTAAAATTATACATTCTTTGTATGATATAATAATGTTCTGTCTTCATTGTCATAAAAAATTATTTTTATTCTTTATCGCCGAAGAGTTAGAAGTATAAAATTAAAATAAAAAAAATATACAAGTACATATAAGTAGTAATCACAAAATGAATTTATAAGAAAAAAGTTTTGACTAAAAATTATAATTTATAAGATGTAATGGTTTCTTCATTGACGGCATTTACAAACAGGTCTCCCTCCAAGTATAAAGACCACTTTTGGGACTGGGGTGGCCCTGGTCTTTAGTACCTTTGGTCTCTAAATTCGAATGATAAAGATAAGACATTTTATTATTTTGGGACCACAGGAAAGTATTCTTTAATTGGAGGTAGTTTTTCAGTCGAGGGAGACATGTACCTTCATATCAAATCTTTTACAAACTGCACACAATAATTTTGAACATAAGACCTACTTGTATTGTATTGTATTGTAAGACCTATTTGTATTGGCAGGCCAATACAAATGTTTATTCCTTAATTACTCAAAACAATGAAATTTGTCAGTTGCTTCCTTGTTCATGGTAGGACAGTATTTACCATTTCAAGTAACATTGATTTGATCTTTGAAAAGAATCGAATAAGGATCAACTTCCAAAGAGACGATTCAAAACAATTCAGATATCAGACTTTACCGTGCAAAAATCATTACTAGCCAATTGAATGGAATAATTCTGCACAAAATATAGGAATGGTATGTTTCTATTAATAATTAGTCAGAGAATTTTTCGATTGAAATAAGTACGTACTTAAATGTCTAAAGTACCCTGTAAGCAATACTAAAATGTATTCTTCATATTTACGGAAACGGAACTGTGACAGGAACAGATATAGTGTAGATGTTTTTTTTTTTTTTTCTGGGGATGGGGTGAACGACGAGGGAATCGGTCATATTTTCCAAAGAAAAGAAAGAAGAGGCTGAGATGTTCCTTTACCATGGGGCCCTGAGGTCTATACTCATTGGAAACACATGAGTTCCAGGCATTTGAAACGCTTATTTAAATTATTTCACGCTTCGGGATTTCTTAAACCTTAATATACACCCTACTGTACATGAACCAATAAAGTTGTCATGAATAAATTACTAATACCCCGCCCAGTAAACGGAAAGCTGAATATTCATAGCATCAACTAATTTGCCTTAAAAAAAATACATTGGTTTGTGTGGTAATCGAACACACAACCTCCATGTTTGCTATTCATTATCCACTATCAACTAAACTGCCTTAAAAAAATTTTTTTTTAAACCTGGCTCATGTGGGAATCGAACCCACGACCTTAAAAAAATAAATAAATAAATTTAAAAAAACTTGCCCCGTGTGGGAATCGAACCCACGATCGCTGAGTTTACTACCCCTGATCCAGCATGACTAAACGCAGGGAGGTAAACCGCGGCCCCTAAGCCATAAATGCAATAAA